ACATGGATGCAGCGGAAACCATCATTTCTCAGCAAACTATCGCAAGAACAGAAAACCAAACACCGCATGTTCTCACTCATAGGTGGGAACTGAACCATGAGATCACTTGGACTCGGGAAGGGGAACATCACACACTGGGGCCTATTATGGGGAGTGGGGAGTGGGGAGGGATTGCATTCTGAGTTTTACCTGATGTAAATGACGAGTTGATGGGTGTTGACGAGTTGATGGGTGCAGCACACCAACATGGCACAAGTATACATATGTAACAAACTTGCATGTTATGCACATGTACCCTAGAACTTAGAGTATAATAATAATAATAATAAAATAAATAAATAAATAAATAAAAATAAAAATCACCAAAGATTTTTAAAATGAAAGAGAACTGAAATGAGAATTATTCTATAAGTGATGGCAAAGGGCTCTCCCCCAGAATAGGAGTTACTAGTTTCTGATTCTAGAAGGGGCTTTGGTCAAAAGAACAAAGCCAAAGGAAAAGAACTTTGGAAGATTACTAAAAGCAAAAGCAATTTTATGAAGTATAATGTAGTTCTCAATTATACACTCTTAGATGGAGTAAAATACTATAATCCAATTGATATCTCTGCTTCCATCTGATGGTTTACGAATAGTATCAAAAGTCTACAATTAAATTACTGCATCACTCACTTTTGGATAATAGGTTGATAATACTAATACATACAAAATAAAGAAAATTTAAGAAGGAGAAAATCATGTTTTCGGTATCAGTAATCAGAAGTTAGAATCAAGAGCCTACTGTTCGTATACTGCCTAAAATAACCTGTGTTAAGAATTAGAGTGCCATTGGATTTGAGGTTTGAATAGAGTAAAATTTAAATAATCACTCTAACAATTATTTATAAACACCCTATTATATGCCTCTGCCCTATTGAAGAGTCAATACAAGGAACAAAATAAGCATTTCCTCATCCTGTTGAGTTTTCAGACCATTGAGGGTTACAGAGAAGTAAACAGACAATGATGACATAGTGTGATAAGCATTGGGAGGGAGACACTTACAGTGCTTTGACAGCACATAAGGAGCATTTATCTCAGATATGAATGACCAAGGAAAACTTCCTGAAAGAATATACTTTTAAGCTGAGACCTGAAAGAGGGTAGAAGCTAGTCAAATTAATATGAAGAAGAAACAAATTATAGACAGGGGAAAATACATGTGCTCAGAGGCAACAGAAAACATAGCTTGTTGCTGGAGAACAGAATGGGGAGCGAGAGCGGTAAGAAAAACAGCTGGACGAGTTTAATCAGATTAGTAAGTCTGAACTTCTCCTTAGGGTAATAGAAAACCATTTGAGCAGGAATGGAAGGGGTGATGTAATTTTTTAATTATTACTTTTTCTTAATAGGAGGGGCAGGGAGACTCCATGGACTCAGCTAAGAGTTTCATACTATGAGATAAAATGGTGGCCTAAGCCAGAATATGATGCTGTGGATAGGGAAAAGTAAACGAATTTTAGAGATATTTTGGCATCAGAATCTTTAAGAAACAGGGATTGAATGTGGGAAGAGTAGAGCCTTTTAAAATCTGTAGAATTTCAGTTGTCGAATTTATTGGAATAAAGTTTTTCATAGCATTCCTTTATTAATCTTTTGATAGAACATGTAGTAATGTCATCTCCTACTCCTGATACTAGCAATTTATGTTTACTCTCTTTTATTCCTGATTATTCTGGCTAGAGGTTCATCAATTTTATTGATCTCAAGAACTAGCTTTTGGTTTCACTGATTTTCTCTACTTGTTTGTTTTCCATGTCATTGGTTTCCACTCTGATTCTTATTTATTTTTTCTTCTACTTATTTTTTGTTACATTTGCTTTTCTTTTTCTACTTTCTTTATTTGTTTCTGTCTTCAATATCAGAGTTGTTTTTAAGCTTTCCTCATTGAGACCAGATCATTTAATCTAGGGCTATTATCCTCTACTTCTTAATACTCTACCCAATGTCTCAAGAATAATGAGATTTTTGACAGCACTTACGGAGCATTTATCTCTGGCTGATAGAACAGTAACTATTCCTAGCCTTGAGTGAGCACGGGAAATTGTTCTCTGTAATCCCTTCAAGTGACTCCTTCCACAGTCTCCGTTAGTTCTTTCATAAGTATGCATTGATCAGTAGTCAGCTAAAGACTTGAAAGGAACCCTCTTAAGACCTCTGAAGTCCTCTGTCTGTGCAGTTATTCCCTCTCCCTTATTCTACCCTGCATCCTCTGGTCTCCTAGAGGACAGTAATGGGAACTGATAGTTGAAAGACTGGCTTGACCACCCCTTAGCAAGTCCTGTATAGATGTACCCTTCACTTTAGACTGTGTGGGTCACATCACTCCCATTGCTCTAAATTCTCAAACAAAATCCAGAAAAAAAATTATTATCTTCCTCCCGAGTCATCTACCTTTTCTACCCAGGAGTGTCCATCATTGACAGTATGCGAGGAGAGAAGGGAAGTACCCCGTCTCTGATGAAACTTTCATTAGTTAAGGAGTTGAACAAGGTAAGATCCAAAGTTCCTCCCAACTCTATTATTCTATAATTTTATGCACAATTCTAAAGAAGTAATTATCAGAATGCAAAAGGAGAAAAAAGTCTATCCAATAAGCACAAAGAAAAAAATGTTATTTCATTATATTAAAAATGAATGGCTAGATGACCTAGGAAGGAATGAAGGAGATGGCAATAGTTTTATTAGCAGTGTAAGGGAAGTAAAGGGCATTATATAATTAACATACTGAACTGTTTTCATATTTAATCGTTATATCAGAATGGCCAGCAACTTCAACTCAGGTCATTCTCTGCATCCCTAATGGGTCATAGCACATGTAATATTAATTATAGTCATTAAGTGAGAAGTCTCTATAACGCCTTCAACTTAGGGTCTCTCCCACACAAAGCTAAAGAAAAGGATCTTCAGACAGACATTTACATTCCTTTGCTCTTGATTCAGCTTTTGTCTTAATAAGAGGGAAATAATTACAGGGCTACAATATGTCACTCTTTTGAAGAGTTACTTAGAGGACGGTACTGATACCTACTCCCATTTACCTAATCCCACTCTACTTCTAGGTGATTCATTTATAATCCCATGGGTAAAATAGGGTAAAGGCTATTATTCTGGAGTTTCTCCAAATTGTGAGAAAATATAGGTCAATCTTTACAGTTTGAAGTTTCAGAATATCGAATTTTCATTACTTGAAGTAATGGACTGGCCTAATAAGTAGGTAATTTCCATATTATCTTTGGGGTTTAGTTCATTTAACATCAAAAGACACAAGTTTAACTATTTTTTCCACCACCTTTGTTTTTGACTAGTTTAATTAATACCTGCTGTTTCCAGCTGTGATGCCGCAAAGCATAATATGGTCATTAGTACTCTCTGAGACCTGCACAACTAGAGCCCCTGCCCTGGGTCCTACTTTAGAGAGACCAGTTCTGGCCCTCTGGGCATGACCCTCTGTGCTGGATGATGACTCTGAAGGCCCAAGGGTACATGTCCATTTGAAACTCAGTATCTTCCCTCTCCTGGGATACTGAAGACCTGGAGTTCCCAAAGCCTGCAATAGCTCACCTCCCTGAATCTGGCCTCCCTAAGATTGGCCATGCTAAAGCATGTATGTCCCTAAACCCAAGAGACAGCTGTTTCATAAGGTGTGAAGAGAGTCTAGATAGAATGTCCACACGCCTGTGTGTGGCCCCGCTTCCTGTTAGACACAGCCAACGATGAGAAGAGGTGAGCTGATGGTCAGAGACCATGAGTTTTACTCTTTCCTTGTGTGGAGCATGCCCTCACAGAAACCTTGAATGAGAAGCATACCAGTCACATTAAAAAATGATTCAAGGCAGTGAAGTCCAAAAGTTAAATCAGACATGCATGGATGGAGGAAAAACTGGGGAGTCTATCAGGCTCCCCAATTTTTCATGTTGCCCCTTCTTTCTCCTCCCTCCTCTACCAACTGGGAAGAAGGCTGCTGAATATTGTGCCTCTAACCTCCTAGGGTCACAAAGAGGAGACAGCAACACCAGAGAATTCCTGATCCTTCTTCCCCTCAACCTCTGTGTTGAAACCCCAAACCTGAAAAAAAGGAATTGCAGAATCCAAATCTATCTTCTTCTCAATTACTTCCTTCAATCTCCCCCTTCTGAGTCAAAAACAAAACCAGGATCATTGAGCATTTTTTTGTGCTTAACACAAGAAATAGCTACAGACTGGGGATACAGGAGGCTGCTGGATTCCAATTAACTTCACCACTTAGCTTTGATTGCTGTGATACTCTGGATGAACTCACTGTTTATTAGTAAATAGGGGTGAGGATCTTAAAGACTAATGATGGCACTGATTGTAGCTATACAATACTGCCCAGATGTTTCTACACTTACTGCTTCCTTTCCTTGACCCTCTTTCCTGTAATTACTAGATAAAAGATGCAAATATGGCATTCAGGAAACCTGAAGCAAACCCAAGCTACTGAGATGGTTAAAGACTAAACTTTGAATATTTGTCTTATACTCAGATTTCACAAGTTACATTAACACATAAGAGAGACACCAGAAGGGGAAAAAAGGCCATACTGCATACTTGAAAGTAAGAATAGGGGAAAAATAAGACACATTTAACATGTACAATTGTTTGATATCTAAGCCAAATCTTGATGAGAAAGCCATACTCTACCATAATATCATCCATTTTAAGCTGATCTTACTGATCAGTCATCTCTTCCACAGTATAGAAATTTCATTTATCACTTCCATTTCTCTAAATGAATTTCCTCCCTACCATAGAATTTGTGCTGGGGAACCATAGAAGTGATTTAATCTATCTAGAATTGCAATCAGATTTCTTTGCATATGGTAAAAGTTCTTACAAAACTAATAGATCAAAAACTAATTACAATGTAAGCCTCAGAATAAGCTACAGAGATTAAAAAAAAAAAAAAAAAAAGAGGGAAGGTTGCTAGTACTCACCAAATCTGGTTCCTTTCATCTTCCTGCGTACCCTGCCCTTCTTGCAGTTAGGCAGGACCATGTGATTAATTCTGGCAAATGGACTGTGAGTGGAAAGAAATGGAAGAGACATGTTTCAATTTCATACTAAGGCAGTGAGAAAGTCTTACATTATCCTTCTCTTGTGACTGTCTTCAGCAAATAAAAAGGCCATGTTGTAAAGATGGAATCACAAGATGGCATCTGCTTGGATTCCTAAGTCACTCCCTACTGGAAGGAAGCTTTTCTGGAGAATCTCTAGAACTGCAGCAGACCTCATGTGAGTAAAAATAGCCACTGAGATGTAGAAGAATTTTTTTCTTATTAATTCAGCACTGTCTATCCTAACTAGGATACATATGTTACCGATGTAAGTATACCTAATGTATTAGAGGTGATCTTTAATCCTAAGTAATCCTTAGACCAATAGATCATTGAGTTGATTTGATAGCATATGTAACATATGTGTGTGTGTGTGTGTGCGCGCGTGTGTGTGTGGCTGAATTTTGACATCCCTAGTCCAAAATAAGTCTTTAAAATTTATTAAATTTACTTACCTTGACTGAAATTTAATTTGAGGACCTACTAGTTAGAATTACCCTAGGGAGTTTCTGGCATCACACACCAAATCATTGAATCATATTTTGCCTGAAAAAGAAGAAAGGAAAAGCCTAAGATAGTCTAACACGTTAGTCCTATATTTTTTCTGCCCCAGATCCACAAATATACCTTGCCCCTTCACAAACAAGTACACACACAGGCATACAGAGACGTAGAAACAGATGTACTACCCACTCTATGCCAGAGCTCTGCTAAGTGCTTAAGAACACAGAGTTAAATAAGACATGGTCACTACTGTTAAGGAGGAAGTAGAAATAAAAACCATGAAAAGATTATGATAGAGTGTAATAAGATCTTTTATCCAGGCTACAATTGGAGCTCAGTAGAAGGAGAACCTAATTCTATCCAAAGGAAGACAAAGATGCCCTCACAGAAGAGATGACAGAAGCTGAGTAATGAAGGGAATAAGAATTTTCCAGGTAGACAAGGAGTAGAAGTGTATTCCAGGAAAAAGCACAGTACATGAAAATGTATCAAGTCACAAAAGAACTCCCCAAGTATTTAGATTGGCTGAAATGTAGTGTGCTTGTAGGGGTAATTGTGAGATGCAAGTTTAAAAGAGCAAGTCAAAGAGGATCACAAGGCACATTTTAAGCCAGGTTCTTTCAGTTATCTATTGCTGCATAACAAGCCACTTCAAAACTCAGTGGCTTAAAACAACAGTTCATTATTATTTTTTTGGAAGAACCACAGTTCATTATTACCTGTTCTGTTTCTTTGGGTTGACCAGGCTCAGCTCTGTGGTTCTATTTTGAGGTCTATGATGTTGCAATGAAATGTTGGCTGGGGCTGCAGTTCATCTGAAAGCTCAGTCAATTCTGCTGGAGGTTCAAAATTGCTCAGTCACATGGCTGGCAATTGATGCTGTGAGCACAGCTGGAGCTATCAACTGAAGCACATACACATAGCCCCTTCACATGGCTTGGACTTCTCACATGGTAGCTGGGTTATAAGAAGGAGTCTTCTCATATCATAGTAGCTGGGTTGTAAGAAGGAGTGTCCCCAGAGTAATTGGTCCAAGAAACAGAAAGTATAAACAGCCAGTCTCTTAACTTCTGGGTCCAGAAAATAGAACAGGATTACTTCAGTCATAATTTTGGTAAAACAGTCACAGAGCCCATTCCCTATTTAATGGGAGTGAACATAGACCCCATTTCTCAGTGGGAAAAGTATCAAAGTATATGTAGCCATCTTTAGTCCATCACACAGGGCAAGATCTTAAACTTTATTCTGAAAGCACTGAATGGAAAGCAAACATAGGCCTTTAAACAGGAGACTGATAACACAGTTACATTTGAGAAAGATGATGCTAATGGCAGAGAAAGGAATTTGGTATTGGGGGAGAAAGAGTAGATTCTAAAAGCTCAATTAAGAAGAAATGAGCTCACACGAGAGATCATGAGGGTTTGAAATTGTGATCGCCTCTATAATGCTGGAGAGGAGAGAATAGAGTCAAAAAATTTGAGGAGACAAAAATGACAGGACTTGGTGACAACTTTGATATAGGGACAAATGAAGTAAAGAGAATAGACAAAAACCACTCCCAGGCATCTTAATATTTAAGTGAGTGGTGATCTCATTATATGAAAAAGATCAGAAAAAGAAACTAGGGTAGTGAGGAGAGCAAAGGACGAATTATGAATGCAGTTTTACTTTTAAAACTATAAAAGCATTTCTTTATAGTTTAAAAAATAAAATTAAGAAAAAATTGTTTTTAATGGAATAAACATTAGATAATGCATTTCTCAGGACTCAGTAATCTTCTGTATATTAGAAAGCCTAAGTGAGTATTATGGAAGAAATAAATATTTTTTCTTCCTCTTTTTAAGTTTATCTACAAAGAATTCCTTTGCAAAACTGTCAACATTCTATCACCTGACAGAAATTAAATTTAATAAATCTGCCTATATTAGAAAAATGGATTTTATAAACTGTAAGTGTCATTAAAAATTAATAGCATCCATTTCCTACAAAGCCTCTACTTTCCATTTTTCTGAGCCATCTTTCAGAATATAATTTGCTTACATTTTGATCATCTACAAATGATTGGCTTTAGCCATTTCAGATGAGCTCCCACTTGAATTCCCCGGCAGCACTAAACTGAGATCAATCATCTCCATAAGTATCTACTCAGAGGACCCAGCAGTCTCCACTCACTGCAAATGAAATGCTAGCTATAAGAATAGAGAGTCCAGAAATAATCCATGTATCTGTAATCAATTGATTTTTGACAAAAATACCAAAAAATCACAATGAGGCAAGGGTAGTCTCCTCAATAAATGATGCTGGAAAAGAAATATTTATATGTAAAAGAACAAAATGAGACCCTCATCTCACAGCATATTCAAAAATCAACTCAAAATGAATTAGGCAATTAAACTGGAGACCTGAAACTGTAAAACTACTAGAAGAAAACATAAGAGAAAGCCTCTGTGACATTGGTCTGTGGAAAAAAAAAAAAACGTTTTGGATATGACTCCAAAAGTACAGGCAACAAAAGCAAAAATAGACAGGTGGGATTACATAAAACTAAAAACCTTCTGCACAGCAAAGAAAACAATCAAAAGAGTGAATAGACAACCTGTGGAATGGGAGAAAATATTTGCAAACCATATATCTGATAAAGGATTAATAGCCAAAATATATAAGGAATTCAAACAACTCAATAGCAACAAAAATGAACGACCTGATTAAAAAAATAGACAAAGATGGGAGGCCAGGGTGGGAGGATCACTGTTGATAGGACTGTAAATTAGTAAGGCCATTATGGAAAACAGTATAGAGGTTCCTCAAAAAATTAAAAGTAGAGCTACTGTATAATCCAACAATCCTACTACTGGGTATATATCCAAAGGAAATGGAGTGAATATGCCAAAGAGATATCAGGACTACTGTGTTCACTGTGGCAATATTAACAACAGCCAAGGCCGGGCATGGTAACTCACGCCTGTAATCCCAGCACTTTGGGAGGCCGAGGTGGGTGGATTACCTGAGGTCGGGAGTTTGAGACCAGCCTGGCCAACATGGTGAAACCCCGTCTCTACTAAAAATACAAAAAATTAGCTGGGCGTGGTGGCAGGTGCCTGTAATCCCAGCTACCCAGGAGGCTGAGGCAGGAGAGTCACTTGAACCTGGGAGGCAGAGGTTGCAGTGAGCCAAGATTGCACCACTGCACTCCAGCCTAGGCAATAGAGCCAGACTCTGTCTCAAAGAAAAAAAAATAGCAAAGATACAAAATCAACCTAAGTGTCCAAAAAGGGATGAAAGGATAAAGAAAAGGTGGTATATATACACAACAAAATACTATTCAGTCTTTACAAAGAAGGACAATGTCATTTGTGACAACATGAATAAACCTGGAGGACATTATGCTAAATGAAATAAGCCAGACACAGAAAGACAAATATTGCATGATCTCATATACTTATATATGATATATATCATATATATCTTATTTATTGACTAAAACAACTTTATAGTTATTTAGACTGACTAAATACATCAACTAAAATAACTTTATAGAGGCCTGGAAACTAGTCAAACATCTATAGCAACCAAGCAAACATCAAATCAACAAAAAGCTTCATTCAAAATGGTAGGAAATTTTTGGCTTTTTTTTTTTTTTTTTTTTTTTGGTCTCTGCCCACATTCTCCCCAGAACAGTGAATTCAGGAGGAAGTGGCCCAATTCCTGGTTTCCTTCCTTGAGCCAGAAAAAAACAGAAGATATTTGCAATGTTCTATCCTGTCCACATGAGATCATACATATACGAAATCTTTAAAAGTTGTACTCATAAAAGTAAAGAGTAGAATGGTGGTTACCAGAGGCTTGGTGGGGGTTGGGGGGATAAAGACTGGGGAGATGTTGATCAAAGGATACAAAATTTCAGTTCAATGAGAATAAGTTCAAGAGATCTATTGTACATCATGGTGACTATAATTAATAATGATTATTGTATACTTGAAAATTACTAAGAGAGTAGATTTTAAGTGTTTTCACCACAAAAAAATAAGTACGTGAAATAGGCCGGGTATGGTCCCTCAAGCCTGTAATCCCAGCACTTGGGAGGCTGAGGCAGGCGGATCACCTGAGGTCAGGAGTATGGCGAAACTCTGTCTCTACTAAAAATACAAAAATTAGCCAGGCATGGTGGCGCATGCCTGTAATTCCAGCTACAGGAGGCAGAAGCAGGAGAATCGATTGAACCCGGGAGAAAGAGGTTGCAGTGAGTGGAGATCGTGCCACTGCACTCCCGCCTGGGCGACAGAGTGAGACTCCGTCTCAGAAAAAAAAGAAATAATACATATGTTAAATGGCTTGATTTAGCCATTCCACAATGTATGCTTACATCAAAACATCACGTTGTACAGTCTAAATAGATATATATAATATTATTTGTCAATTAAAATGTAAAGATGAAATAATGTTTTATTAAAAAAAGAAATGCCAGCTACAGATACATTTTGAAGAAGCACAAAAACAGCATTAGTACTCCTCCTGCTAGGTGTTACTGCTGCCCAAGATTGGCTAATGGCAGACCAAATTGAAGCACAGGCCTCACAGAAGCTCCATGCTATTAAAGGAAGCTCTAAATGATCCAGTGTGGTACACATAGTAAGTGTTAACTTTTGGATTATACCTACACCATGCTATTGAAATGGTTTGAAGCAAAACCTTTTCATTGGATCTTTATTTTAAAATTGATTTTTCAATTACACATATATCCTCAGACCTCATCAGCCTGGAGAATTCCATTAACATTAGAAAACTAAATTGTTCTGCATTTTACCATCCCTCTAAGATTTCTAGCTTGATAAAAGTGTCCCCCACACATTCCACTCTACCATATACTTCTAGCAGTCCCCAAGGGGTTTCTCACATGTAATCATGAGCAACTCCTAACAGTTTGCACTTGATACTATTTCTTGGATGTCTTGAACCTGCCCGCTTCAGTGGAGACTGCTAAGGCCCCCAGTGGTGACAAAGCTATGTGAAGTTATCTGGCCTCTTCCTCTGTCACCATGGTTGAACGACTTCCTACTGGATACATACCATTTCTAGTACCATATGGCTTTTACAATCTAGAGCCCTGAATAAATTATATCCCAAATGTCATCTCATTTCCTCTTGCAAATTGTTTCTTTCAGACCTATCTTGTCTGGCTCTCAGATATACTCATATAGATCTCTGGGTCTAGCTTCTGTGTCAGGCAAAGATATCCAATCATTACTACTATATCTCATAAAAGAATATAATTAAGTCTTTGAGACTAGGGTAAACTTTCCAAATGAAATTCCATTTCTTTATTCATATTCGTTTTGCTCTGCTTTAAAACTCATATTCTGAGAGTGACATCAGCAAAATGGCAGACTAGAAAGCTCCAAGTCTTCATTCTTCCATGGAAACATTAAAAAAAAAAAAAACTATAGATTGATTAAAATAACCTTATAGAGCCCTGGAAACTAGTTAAACATCTACAGCAACCAAGCAAACACCTAATCAACAAAAAGCTTCACAAAATGGTAGGAAATTTTTGGCTTTTTTTGGTCTTTGCTCACATTCTCCCAAGGACAGTGAATTCAGGAGGAAGTAGCCCATTTCTTGGTTTCTTTCCTTGAGCCAGAAAAAAAGAGAAGATATTTGCAATGTTCTATCCTGTCCATAGGCTGTTCAAGTGTCTGGTTTCTGTTTGTCTGACTCAGAGCTCAGACAGGAAATAGTGGAATAGTTTGGATCTCAAGCTAGCAGAAGCCAG